TTGAACTCAGCTTTAACAGTGGATTTGACTATTTCTCCTTTGAGTTGTATCAGATTCTGCTTCATGTATATCAGTGTCTTCTTGGTAAGTACATACACCTTTAGAACTGGTACATCTTCTTTGAGAAATGGGCTCTTCATCATTATGTAATACCCTTGATAATTTTCCTTGTTTTAAAATCTGCACTGAAGTTAGTATAGCTATTCCAGCTGTCTCTGGAATGCTATTAGCAAGGTCTATCTTTTCCATACCTAGACAATGTATTAAAAGAACAGAAACGTTACTTTGCCAGCAAAGGTCCATATAGTCAAAGCTGTGGTTTTCCCAGTAGTCATGTGTGGATGTAAGAGTTGGACCATAAGGAAGGCTAAGCCCCAAATAATGGAGCTTTCAGACTGTGCTGTTGGAGAAGACTCTTGAGAGTCCCTTAGACTGCAAGGAAATGAAACCAGTCCGTCCTGAAGGAAATCAACTCTGAATATTCCCTGGAAGGACTGATGCTGAAGCTGAAGCTCCAATACTTTGGCCACCTGGTGCAAAGAGCCGACTCATTGGAAAAGGCCCTGGTTCTGGGAAGAATTGAAGGCAAAAGGAGAAGAGGGTGGCAGAGGATGAGATCGATAGCATCACTAACCCAAATTCACTGGACATGAATTTGAGCAAATTGGAGACAGTGAAGGACTGGGTAACCTGGAGTGCTACAATCCATGGGCTTGCAAAGAGTTGGATAGGACTTAGCGACCGAACAGTCTTTCCCATGGTTGTACGTTTGACTTTATATTAATATTCTTGCCTGAAGAGTTCCATGGACAGAGAAGCCTGGTGGGCTATAGTCCAGGGGGTCACAAAGAGTCTCATTCAGCTGAGCAAGTAACACTTTCACTTTTCATGTAAATAACATATTTTAGTCTTTTTAACTTTGGCAGTCTATTGTAATACTATTTAATGTGATTATTGACATATTTGGATTATTATATCAACCATGTTTGTAACCATTTTCTGTTTATTGTCAGAGACTTCTGCTTTCTCTGATTTTAGTTGAGCAATTCATATGATTAAATTTTATCTTCTTTCTAAGCATAGCAAGTATACTTCTTAAAAACTGTTGCCCTAAGAGTTTAAAATATTTACTTTTAAGCTAATTTATGTCTACCTACAAATAACATTATTCCACTTGAAATGTAGTGAGGTTGTCTTGCTGCTAAGTGGCGTCAGTCACGCCTGCCTCTTTGTGACCCCACGGACTGTAACCCGCCAGGCTCTCCCGTCCTGGGCTTCTTCAGGCAAGAACACTGGAGTGGGACGCCATGCCCTCCTCCAGGCGGTCTTCCAGATTCAGGGATCAAATCTGGGTCTCCTGTCTCCCCTGCATTTGCTGGTAGGTTGTTTACCACTACAGCCACCTGGGGAGGCTAGCTTACAAAGGAGAGCTCCCAGTTTCTCCCTCCCGTCCTCATGACCTACTGCCATTCATCATGCTTTCCTGTTTGCTACAGTAACCAGACGCATTGTTATTATTACTATTTCTTTTTTTTTTTCCATTTATTTTTATTAGTTGGAGGCTAATTACTTTACATCATTGCAGTGGTTTTTGTCATACATTGAAATGAATTAGCCATGGATTTACATGTATTCCCCATCCCGGT